TATCAACCTGCTTAAACTTATTTCCTACAATTCAAACTCTTAATATTCTCACAATGCAATTGAGTTGTTAACAAGAGAAGGCATGGCTGCAGCTCTGGTGAGGCCAGCATTTCTCTCTGCTTCTGTGAAAATTTGATAGATAGAATCACCTCAAACGAGTTTCGAGATTTCTTGAGAAATAGAAAGTTGAAGTCTCTCTCTCAGGTGGGCTGAGGTAACTCTATTGATGCTTGAAGTAGTTCTTAACGATGCAGAGGAGAAGCAAGTCACCAATGGTTCAGTCAAAGAATGGCTTGAAGAGTTGAAAGATGCTGTTTTCGATGCAGAGGATTTATTTGATGAAATCAACACTGACTTCCTGAGAAGTAAGTTGGAACAAGATTCTCAAAAACGTCGAGAATAAGGTGCACTCCTTCTTTTCTTCTTCTTTTGGAAAATTTTACTAGGGGATGAACTCCAAGCTCGAAGCAATATCAAGTAGGCTTGAACACTTTGCCAAGCAGAAGGATATCCTTGGTTTGCAAAGTGTTAGCTCAAGGGGAATTAAAAGAGCTACAACATCATTGGTAAATGAATCTGCTGTGGTTGCAGAGAGGATGATAAGGAAAAACTTTTGAACATGCTGTTGTTTAATGAAGATGCAAAGGACATGATATAGGAGTGATCACTATTTGGGGAATGGGTGGTGTGGGGAAAACAACCCTTGCACAACTCCTTTACAATGACAAGGAAGTGGGACAACATTTCGATTTGAAGGCTGGGCTTGTGTTTCAAACAATTTTAATGTTTTTGATGTTACCAAGAATCTGGTTGAATCTGTCACTTCAAAAGTCTATCACAATAAAAATTTAGACTTACTTCGGGTTGAACTGAAAAATTGCTTGACCAATAAAAAATTTCTTCTTGTGTGGATGACATATGGAATGATAAATATAGTGATTGGGATGATCTGGTAACTCCTTTTCGCTGTGGAAGAAGGGGCAGCAAGATCATTGTAACAACTCGCCAACAAAGAGTTGCTGAAATCACACGTACGTTTCCTGTATATAACTTGACTCCTCTCTCAAATGAAAATTGTTGGCATTTACTTGCCAAGCATGCTCTTAGAAATGAAGATCCCAACAAATATACAGTGTTAGAAGCAATTGGTAAGAAAATTGCAAGAAAACGTGGTGGTCTACCAATAGCTGCCAAAACAATTGGAGGTCTTTTGCGTTGAAAGAGGATGCAGGGGAGTGGAATAAAATTCTAAATAGCAACCTGTGGGACTTACCAAATGATGATGTTCTACCTGCTTCGTGTTTGAGTTATCTTTATCTTCCTTCACATTTGAAGAAATGTTTTGCCTATTGTTCAATATTTCCGAAAGACCTTTTGTTAGATAAAAAGCAATTGACCTTGTTATGGATGGCTGAAGGATTTACAGCAATACTCCCATGGGGAGAAAGCATTGGAGACACAGGCAAGTGACTGCTTTAATGAATTGTTGTCTAGGTCTTTCTTTCAGCAATATGAAGGTGATCCAAGAAAGTTTGTCACGCATGATCTCATCAATGATTTAGCCAAATTTGTATCTGGTAGGAGTTGTCTTTGGTTTGAAGGCAATGAAATCCCAAAATCTGTTCGCCATTTATCGTATCCCAAACAACGATCTGATGACTTAAAAAGTTTGAGAGCTTTTATCATTTAAAGTGTTTGAGGACTCTTTTGTCACATTACCAACTAAATATGGGATCTTTTGTTTTTTTGCCCAAAAGGTGCCACCTGATTTGTTTTCAAAACTAAAATGTTTAAGAGCACTGTCATTGTCAGGGTATTACAGTATCACTGAGCTGCCTAATTCAATTGGCAACTTGCGGCATTTGCGATATTTGGACCTTTCCTACACCTCAATCACTCGGTTGCCTAATTCAAGCTTTACACCCTACAACTTGCAAACCTTGCTTTTATCGTATTGTTTGTCTTTCAATGACTTGCCTGGAAAGATAGAGAAGCTTATTAATCTACGCCATCTGGACATTAGTGGCATTGCTTTGAAGGAGATGCCAACACAAATTAGCAAACTTCAAAATCTTTATAATTTGAGTACTTTTGTGGTGGGAAAACAGAAGGATGGTTGGGGATTAAGGAGTTAAGAAAACTCCCTCATCTACAAGGTAGGCTTTCCATTAGCTACAGAAGGTCGTTGATTGCATGGATGCTTATGTGGTGAACTTGAAGAGGAGAGAAAAAATTGAGGAGTTAGTGTTGGAATGGGACTGTGATACTCAGGATTCACAAGTTGTAAAAGATGTACTTGACACGCTGCAACCTTCAAGAAATTTACAAAGATTGACCGTTAACCATTATGGTGGTACTAGCTTTCCAAATTGGGTGGGAAATTCTTCATTTACAAATATTACCTTTTTATCTATAAGTGATTGCAACTATTGCTTATCACTTCCACCATTTGGACAACTACCTTCTCTCAAAGAGCTCTTGATTAAAGGAATAACATTACTACACACAGCTAGTCATGAGTTTTATTGCAGTAAAATAGAGTCCTCTTCATTTCAGCCATTTCGGATTTTGAAAAGTCTAAGATTTGAGAAGATGCCAGTTTGGGAGGAATGGATACCATTTGAAGGTGAAGGTACCAAATTTCCATTCCTTGTCTTAAACATTTGTATTTATAGGATTGTCCTATGTTGAAGGGAGACATTCCCGACAATCTTCCTTCATTGACAAAGGTTGACATATTAAAGTGCAATCAATTGAAGGTAAAATCATCAGCTTTGCAATGGATTACATCTATTGAGGCAATGTATTACATCTATTGAGGAATTAAATATTGACTAGGGGAACAAGGCTGTGTGAGGACTCTTGATAATGATTCTCCGGTCTCACTAAATGTCTCCGAATTGAGGTGTTGGTTACAGCTTGCAGTCTTTTTGCCAAGATTGAAACCGAGTAGCCATTATCTTCAAGACTTGTTATCCATAAATATTCAATTTGTGAAGTCCTTCCCAATAAATGGCCTGCCCACTTCACTGCGACGTCTTGAAATTTGGGACTGTAAGAAATTAGAATTCCGACCCCTGGAATCTTGGCAAAAACTACACGCACTCGAACATTTGGAAATAAAATAGTTGTCATTCCTTAACATCCTTTTTCCTTAAGTTGTTTTCCAAGGCTGAAACATCTTTATTTTGATGGTTGTCTTAATCTGGACATGTTTACACAATTTGGGGGATCTGCTCTTACCTTAGAATCTTTTGGTGCCTTTGATTGCAAAAGTCTTAGATCAATGGCAGAAGTGAAAATTGATTCCTTGGTGCCCTTCAAAAGTTTAATCTTTCTCGCTTCCGAATTTTAACTTGCTGCCTCAACATGGTTTACCTTCTAACTTGCGATCAATTTTGGTTGATGATTGCAAGGGACTATCATCTATGTCCATAGAGGATTGGGGTTTCCAACGGATGGCTTCTCTCTTAGAATTTTGGTTTAGAGGTGATGAAGGTGAAGGTATTCTCCACAATTTACTGAAGAAACAGTTACTGCCAACTTCTCTTGTGCGTGTCTACATACGGAATGTCCCTAATCTTAAATTCTTGGATGGAAAAGGGATTCAACACCTTGCTTCTCTAGAAGCACTCTACATCCATGATTGTCCAAACCTTGAATCTTTGCCAGAAGATGATCTGCCATCCTCTCATTTGTTATGCATATCTCTCGCTGTCCTGAATTAAGAGAGAGATGTCATTATCAGAGAGGAAAGCACTTGTCCAAGATTGCTCATACTCCTACTATAAAGATTAATGACCAACACTATGATTCTTGAGGGAGATGTTACATGCATAGAATCAAAAGGTGAGCCTTGAAATTTAGAGACAACTAAATATTTTAATATTCATCAACAAATATTATTTATTGTTTCTTTTTCATTTTTGACCTTGCAGGCTTGCACATCACAATGTTGGTATTCCCTTGTGGTCATAGCATTTGTTTACATCTTATGACTAGATCTTGCCTGCAGCAGATATAGGTGAACTTCTAGAATTTGCTTAACCTCAGTGCTTCTGTAATATATATATATATATATATATATTCCTTTCAACAGCCAGTTGTGCTTATTTCCATTGATGCGATTTCTTATCAATAAATGGGATTGCTTCTATGGTTGCTTTAAATTATTGTTTAAAATTTCAATTATGGCTTGATGTTTCAATTTTTAAGTTTTATCATATATTGGTTCTGTCAAATTTGATCTGCACAATTTATTGCAGCTTGTTATATATGTCATCTGTGTTCGTTTGATGAATGATATTTGTTAATCATAAAGGTATACAAGACTTGGCAGCATTCTTTGATCATTTGACAGAATAACATGAGAAATATCTGTCCATAACAGGATTGGTGTAATTTGAACCATTTTATCATGATGGTTCTCCAGCTTTCTTAGCTTATTCCCTACATTTGTCCAGTCTCTCATAAATATGAAGAGTTTGGATTTTTTTTGTAACGAGATAAGTTGCATTTGTTGTTCTTCATTTCTTGTTTCACAAAACTTACATACCCAATCATGAACATGGACCAAGTCTTACTGTCACTTTTTTTTTTTTGGCATCTATATTGCTTTTTACAGTTACAAAGGCAGCATGCTACTGGCTTTCAATGAGCAAAGCTAAAGCCAAAAGTTCGCTAAAAATGCCACGTATCAAGCATGCTTATAATGGGAACAAACCACTTTTCAATTTTATTTTTTATATCATATTGCTGTTAATTCTGAATCATGAGGGAACTTATATAACTTGGAAATAATATATGTCATTAGCTTTCAATGAGCAGAGAAATGGTCATGAGTCCCTGAAAATGTTACATATCAAGCAGTTCTCATAAGAGGTATTTATGGCACTGACAGAAAAGATTCAAAAAACAGAGAGGGTGAAACTAGGTAATTCAATATTATTTGGGTTAAAGACCTAATTTATTCCTAAATTTTTTTTAAAAGCATTGGACATTTTATAGTGAAAAGTGCGGCAATTTCTCCACTAAATAATTTTTTTTTAATGAGCAATATTATCTCTATGTTAAACATCTTTTGATTTGACTATTAGTTGGCCCAAAAAATGACAAACAAAGGATCTAGAGAATTACAAAAAAGACTCAAAAAGTTGTATAAAAAGAATTTATAAGAAAATTAATACAGATTAAGTTCTTAAATTATGAATAAATTTGAATTGACTAATCTTATTTATTACCCATATAAAATATTAAAATATTATTTTAGTCAATCGCTTTGACCGATTTCTGTGTGACTATTGAATCATCAATGCTAGAAAGATAGATAAGTAATTAAAAATATCATATTTAATTTACTAAAATTTGTTTAAATATTTAATTATTTAAAAGTTTAAATATTATTATTTATAAATATTCATACAAAATTTATAAATCATCTTTTAAATATTAACAACTCAACTAGTTTTTCTAACATTTATAGGTGATTTGTAAATTAATAGTATGATAAAGTATAAGTCTATCTTTAAAATTAACAAGTCCTCCTTCATAAAGTTGTACATCAAAAGAGTTGCCATGTAAATTGTGTGTGAAAATTTTTAAATAATAAAATATTTAAATTATTAAGTACTCCCTCTATCTCAAATTATAGGGCACTTCTTCAGAAGTTTCTTTGTTTTAAAATATAAGATATTTTGGGTAGATTAAGATTTCATTAAATACACCAATTTCAATATTACCCTTTCTCTCTATAATTAATTTCCATCTCTTCTCTTTTCAATATATTAAATGATGGGTATTTTGAAAAGTTTATATTTTTTGTTTTGAAAATATAAGGTTGTTAAGTGTATTTAATGAGATTTATTAGTATATGAAATTTTATTTAAAAGTATATTATAATTTGAATAGAGGGAGTAATAAATTATTAATATTAATACTTTAATAATATGTTATTTAAACTATTTTTTGCTCCTAGAATTCGTACCCCCTTCGTTAATAATAATAATAACAAGATTTGGAACCATATTTAATTATTTGGCTCGATATAGTATTTAATATCCATGCCTGATTAGATATTTATGAACGAATGAAGTGTGATTTTAATCACATATATTTCTAATGAGATGTGAGTTATGATACACACATATATATTTGTTAAGTAACATTAATTAATTTCTGAATTTATAAGATTTGCATGTTTTGATTAATCAAGAAGATGAG